CTGAGTCATATTTTTAAATTTCTGTCAGTTCTCTTTTGTTCTTTATGTGCTACTTTTTCTAGCATTCTGGTTTTATTATGAATACAGTATATCTATATTGACTGTAGAGTATTAACCATCATTTTTTTTTCTTGCACTCCCTCTACTTTTCTAACCATTCCTTTTGTTGCTGTTTCTTTTCCCCCCAGTCTTTTCATGTGAGAGGCTTTTCTCGAATATGTTCACATACTTGCTGTGTTTTGATATTTAAGATTGACTCACTCAAAAGCCAACTGGCGGTTCTGTATACTTGAGAAGGGCTTGTCATCTGCTGACTGATCAGGTGACTCACCTATTTCACATGGAATCGTTAACTGTCAGCATAGGTTGTCTTGGTTTCCTTGGTCTGTTTTCCTCAGGGAAAAATTCTTCTGCTTGGAGGCTTATAAGATTAGCAGCTAGTATCCTGGGAGCCAGGCTGAGAAAAGAGTCTAGAGGATCTTTCAATTCTGCCTGTGGACTTCTGCTTAGTATCTTTGTCAGTTAGGTGACTCACTTCTGCTCCCAGCCATGCCTAGCATTTTGCTAATTCTTCAGCTAGTTAACAACTCTTCTGTTGGAATAGGGTGAATTAATTCCCTGGTCACGGTCACCCTCCAGAAACCAGGAAGAGCGGAAAAGATAAAAATCAAAGTTTGTATACTTTGTACAAGACTTTTGATGGCACTTAGGACAGTTATTTATGGGTTTATATACTAGACTGTATGTCCCTGGAATGTAAGCATTTAAGCCTTTAACCAGTGTCTTAGACCAGTTTCTCCCAGAAATAAACCCCAAGGTAAAAGATTTAAGTGCATTGATTTATTAAGAGGGTGCTCCCAGGAGAAATCAGTAAATGAATAGAAAAAGCAGAGCCGGCAAGAAGAAGAAATGAAGGAAGAGTAGACATCAGCTGGAGCCACAGCATTAGCCTAATTCCATGGTAATCTCTGCATCATAACATTATACCTTAGCATTTATCTCACCTCCAAACAAAGAAGCTGGGCTTTTGTACCTCCACAAAACTTGTGGAGGTACAAAACTTGACTTGGCTTACTTTCCTTAGCCAAGTCAGTTGTTGGCTAAGGAATGTGATGATGGGGTGGTGTGGGTATGGGGGGGATTAATAAAAAACAACAACTCCCATATGCTTCTAGCTCTCAATACCGGCAAGGTGCCTTTGACTTCATTGCCCAAAAGGAATGCTCTGGAGGTCTTGAGTGTGAGTCATTACCAGCAAAGCATGTGGAAACTGGAAGATGGGTCTCTGAGTTGATAAAGTGGATCCCAGGAGAACTGAACAGGCACCAGTTGTGTCCACTAAACCCTAATATCTTCCCCTAACAATTACCAGATAAGGGAATGGTAATCCCTCATGAACATCTTGCAGTTTAAAGAAGTTTTCTTTTTTTCATCTCTTATTGCAATTGCTCTTTAGAATGATTTTATAAGGAGAGAAGAACAGCATTATTATCTCTGTCTTTCAAAAAAGTCAGACAAGGCAGAAATTCGGGGACTTTTCTAACATCTTCAGATTCTAAATCTAGAGGTTGTTCTAACATGCTACCTCATATCTAAGAGTTTTATAAATATTTTAGATAGGCGTAAGAAATGCATATAAATATGAATTATTTAATCTATGTATCATGATTTTTATAATTAAAAAAATACAGGAAGTATAAGGAATAAACTTTTTTTTCAGTTTTAGCATGATTGTCATATAGGTTTTCTAACATTACATAAGAAAAAGTTGGGTTAAGTAGAGTGCTCCATATTAAGATATATTTTAATACGTACCATCACTCAAGGCTTCTCCCAGTGTTGCATTACTCAAAGGATTTCATTAAAGCTAGTGTGAAAGAAACATGTTAAAAGGTTCCTGGAGCACAGCTAGAGGTTGATTCATTTTGAATATACTTGGAGTTCTTCCATACTTTCCCCCTATGGCCTTATTTGCATATAATACTTTTGACTCATGCCATTCCTGCTGAAGTATGAATATTCCTTCAGAAATATTGCCAGTAAAACTTACAGTCTATTACTGACACACCAGACCTTTCCTTCTTCTAGTTCAATAATTACTTCCCCATAAAGGATCCACCTTTGCTCCTCTGCTCCTGCTACTACTAGACCATCCCCTAATCACAGTGATATGATAAATTCAGAGAAGTTGAGAACAGTTTACCCCAGGGATGTATTCAGAACTAAATAGTTTCTATTATGTTAAATCCTCCTCAGCTACTTGAACTCTTCTTCCTTTCTGGATGATCTGAAATGGTGCTTTTCAAACCTGGTGGCACATTAATATCACTTAGGGAGCTTTAAAATATATAGATGGCCTGATTCTGACCCAGGCTAGTCAAATCAGACTTGCAGGCATTGGTAATAAGATTATAGCTTCCAATATGATTATTTCTCTCTCTCTCTCTCTCTCTCTCTTTTTTTTTAATTGAGACAGGGCCTCACTGTGTTGCTTAGGCTGGCCTCAAACTCCTGCACCCAGGCAGATCTCTTGCCTCAAACTCTTGAGTAGCTGAAACTACAGATTGCTTATTAAAGCACCATATCCTAACCACTGCACCTGGCTAAAGCGCCCCCTATGATTCTGTCATTCAATCAAGTTTGAAAACACTCATCCAAAACTGGAGAAATGTGACAGCTCCATTGGTGTCAGGAATAGATTTGGCTGTCTCCCGATCTTGGTAGCAGGATTTCATTTCTTTTTCAGCTTAAAATTTCTCATTCACTTTGGTCTTTTATGTATGCCTGGTCAACCAACAATTTCAGGTCACAGTGGGGCTAACTGAAAGCCTGTTGATATCTTATCTAGGGCCTGTTAACAATTTGATATAGTTGAAGCATATTAGAAAAAGGAACTGTTGGCCGGGCGTGGTGGCCCACACCAGTAATCCCAGCACTTTGGGAGGCTGAGGCGGGCGGATCATGAGGTCAGGAGATCAAGACCATCCTGGCCAACATGGTGAAACTCTGTCTTTACTAAAAATACAAAAATTACATGGCCATGGTGGCACGTTCCTGTAATCCCAGCTACTCTAGAGGCTAAGGAAGGAGAATTGCTTGAACCAAGGGGTCGAAAGCTGCAGTGAGCCGAGGTTGCAGCAGTGCCCTCCAGCCTGGCAACAGAGCGAGACTCCATCTAAAAAAGAAAAAGAAGAAAAAAGAACTGTTGTACCTTACAGAATCTGAAAAGTGAAACTCCTCTTTGCCTCAGTGCAACTGAGCTTTACTCTCTATCCTCCATTAGTTCTTCGGAAAGGGAACACCAGTTATTGCCTGTATTTTCAACTCACGTTTGTACCTACCTTCCACTATCCGCATGGCCTGTTAACTGTTTCTAACTCTGTTCTTTAGACTTTGGTACAAGGAATCACTTGCAGTGCTTCTAGAAATATAATTCACTTGCCCTACCTCTAAAGATTATGATTTATTTGACCAAGGAACATATATTTTTACATTTTAACCAACTCTCTCGGTAATTCTCATGCCAGTTGTGCAGCGAGCCCATTTTGAAAATCAAAACTCTAATTTCCTTAGTGGTTATTTTTTTTCAAGAATGAAGGAAGGAATAAGAGATAAAATGACGTTACTATATTTTCCCTTCTATTCTGTAAGTTAATACATGAAAAAGATTCCACTTATGGAATCTTTAATGTAGAGTTTACAAACACATATTCTCCTATGTCTATACATAGGAGAAGTGATTAATTTGTGAATCTCTTTGGTCATAATTGGTGGTATGTCACAAGAACAAAGAAAAAGTCTTTGGAAAATTACATATACTTCATGAATTTAATGTTTGTTTTCCCTGTATATAGACATTTTTCTAGAATAAAACCTCTATATTTCAATTCTAATTGATATTGAACATTTAGTAATGCTAGACTTCTGTTTAGGAGGTATTATATCTCTCCAAGGTAGAGATTTTATTACAGTGTGATAATTATTATGAAACTTTTTTCTTTTTATGGATCGGTCAGGTTTTAACTAAACACACTTACTGTATTATTCTGTTCTCATACTGCTAATAAAGATATACCCGAGACTGGGAAATTTATAGAGGAAAGAGGTTTAATTGACTCACAGTTCCACAGGGCTGGGGAGACCTCAGCAAACTTACAATCACGGCAGAAGACGAACGAAGAGCAAAATCATGTCTTACATGGCAGCAGGCAAGAGAGCTTGTGTAAGGGAATACCTCTTTATAAAACCATCAGGTCTCATGGGACTTACTATCATGAGACCAGCATGGGAAAGACCCACCCTTGTGACTCAATTACCTCCCACCAATTTCCTCTCATAACACATGGGAATTACAGGAGCTACAATTCAAGTTGAGATTTGGGCGAGGACACAGCCAAACCATATCACTTACTGACTACTTGCAGGTTTATTTAAAACAGTAAAATTGTAGGTCATGTATGTTTTATTTCTTTAGCCTAACTATAGCTTTACTTAGTTGTATATATTGGCTATTAAAAGAAGCTTGTATTTTAAATTCTACATGTTAGATGAGTCTCATAAGTGGAAAACAAAGAAAAATGTTTACTTGAAATTATAAACTTTGAAATTTACTATTGATGTTAAATATAGTAACAAAACACAATTACATGCTTTGAATGAAAAATAATTTTTAATTACTAATAAGTTTACTAAATTTTAACGGTTGAGATCAACGTTATTCCCTTGGGCCTAATAAAATAACTTCAGTTTTCTTTCCAGTAAAAATCTGCAAGTAAAATATTTAGAAAACAAGTATGTTTTTAAAAATAAACTTTGATTACAGTAAGTATAAATGATAAAGTTTATTTATATTTTGATATAATATAAAATAATATTTGTATTTAATTAAAATGTGAGTTTACATTACTATTAAACCATTCTATTATGCAATCTTATAGTTCAACATGATGCAATGATATATGATGTAGGAAAGCCTGTGTCTCACAAATGACCATTTTCAGTTTCTTGGCAGTACAGAAGTGGAACAGCCAAAAGGAACAGAAGTTGTGAGAGATGCTGTAAGGAAATTAAAGGTAGGGAAAACCCTTCAAATAATTTACAAGTACATTGATTCTGTCACGTTTTCAGCAGATTGAAGGAGATCAAAGCATGATTGTTGCAGGTATAGCTTCACCCTATTAAAAATGAACTATTGAAGAAATGTAATCATATCAAGGAAACATTTTTAATAGTAAACATATACACAAAATTGTTTTTAAAATATGGCATACTGTTCATATTTTTCTAAAAATAATATTTTATGGCAGTGTGTCTTGAATGTTTGTTTTATAGCTTGCCTTTACTTTGCTTGGATAATGTGAACTTATGTCCCAAATCAAAAGCTAGTAATAGCAAAACAACTGTATTTAAAGGCTAAGATATAATATCCACCAGTTAAAAATGTGGAGTTAGAGTTGATTTCAACCAGAATTTTGCAGTGACACTGTTAAATATGTCCTAATCTACAAGTCCAACAGGATCTGGCAATGTCCATAAATAGCCATGGGGAAACTGGTGAAACTAAGAGAGGAGAGAAAGACATTTAATAAGCAACCCCACATATCCTAGTCAACAAGTTTCCTGAGAAAATCTTATATAAGATGCCACACACCATGTTTCTCTAATTGTTCCACATCTTGAAGGACATTGTTTCACTGAGATTTTAAAATTTAAAAAACTCCTCAACAGAATTCTCAGCTTTATCATATAAGAAAATATATATAGTGCTACTTTTTTTTACACAGTTAATGTTATTCTCTATAGTCGCTCTCACATTTTTGGAGAAATAACCCTTCTCTAACTTTATTTGGTTTAGGGACCATCCAGTTATTCTAAAGGAGGGTTAGACCTCTGAATGTGCCAGGCAAACTCAGAGACATTAAATGGTATTACTTTGCTTTGAGAATGTCATATCTGGTGGAATCCACTCTGTGTTTAAAATGAGAAATAATTGAATTGGCATGGCTTCTATTCTGGGTAAAGAAATAAAGGTCAATAATATTTTATCCATTTTATTTTATATGAAAATATTTTACTAATCCTTTTAAGTAAATATACTGAAAACTCCCAAGATAATATCGCTCCCATTTGGGAAAAAAGTGGATTAGCCAACTATTTATTTCCACCATTCATTAGGTAATAATTTAGATTTGCCTTTTATTGGCCAATAGTTTTAATCAATCCAAAAGAAGATTTAAAAGGGCTCACAGTTTATGGACAACATTAGAATAGGATTCTATTTAAATGCTTTCAAAAAGTTGCAAATTCTGGGCATGAATCCAACTTCAATCAGAATATTTTATGAAAGAACAACGCTATTTACACGTAGTATTTCTTTATGCCTTGTAGGTTGTTCAGTCAACCCAAATCGAAAACCAAAAAAATTCAATTGAATAATGAATAGATCAAATGTAAAGACATATTTGAAATCAAATGCTTTCTAAACAATGGCTAGTTTACATATATTTTTGAAGGATTGTATATGTATTTCTGTGGAGTTGCATGTTTAGAAATGTACTCTGTTAATAAAAGAATGTGACCTACAATAAGGTAAAAAAAATTATGTAGTATAGTTTAAAAATGCACACTTAGTTTATAGAAGCTGTTGTTTCTCAAATATCTTCCAAAATAAGTTTGTATTTAATAAGCAATTTTACTGTGCTGATTGCAAACATTTTGTATATCAGGAAAGTATATCTAAGGGTAATGATTCATACACGAATGATAATGAATAAAACAATACTTTTTATTTATTTATTTATTTATTGCTTTTTTGTGTGTGTCAAGGGTCAGAAGCTACAATTCAAAGTATATTAAGAATATTTTTTAAATGTCAAACCCGGCTCTACTGGTTCGAAATGGCCAGTAGGTGGTGGTGTGGCTCTACTAAAAAAAAGAAAAAAAGAAACTTGCTCTTTTATCATACGTACACATCTCCATTTTAATTTCCTATTTGTTTTTCTGTAACATATGAATTCTGACTGCTTTAAAAAAATTTATATAATTCAGTATGTGATTTTATAATTTATTTTATTTTATATTACTTACTTTACTTTATACTATTTATTTTATATTACCATGTAAGGTAACATTTTATTTATATTTACTCCTTTTTCAGCAATATTAATGTAATGGCTTCTGACATTAAACAAGAATTTAAAATTTAAGAATAAAATCTGATGGAGAAATTAAAGAATTATCAATATGAATTTTTCGTGTTTCTGTGTTTAATGATGCCTGCTTAGTTTTCAAAAAATTTGAAAACTTTGACTTTTTTACACTGTCATTTTTTAGAGAATTTATAGTTTATAAATTTTTCTTTTATAAATATAATTATTTTTGTAAGTATTAACCTTTTAAAGTTCAGATACCATATCAAAATATGTTCTTTATTTCCTAATCATGTTCAGCTGTTTCTATTTCTTGATCATGTTTTAGCCGGGCTTGGTGGCACATGCCTGTAATCCTGGCTACTTGGGAGGCTGAGGCAGGAGAATCACTCGAACCCGGCAGGCGGAGGTTGCAGTGAGCTGCGATCGCGCCATTGCACTCCAGCCTGGGCAACAAGAGGGAAACTTAGTCTCAAAAAAGAAACAAAAAAAATAAAATAAACAAAAACAACAACAACAAATAAAAAAAATTTTCTGAAATGTAGTAATTTTAAACCCTTTCGACTTCTATGTATTGAATAGCACTGTTTTTTGGAACAAATTTTATTTTTAATAGTGATTTATATATTTTTATTAATACAACTAGTACAGATGTTGGGGGCTCAATGTATTTCATAAACAATTTGTGATTTTTACATGTAAGTAAGTATTGATATATAGATTCAAAGCTTATCAATTTCCCTGGGAGATACCCAGTGGGCAGCATTCCTGGAATCCAGTTTTAGAGTGAAAATCCCCTCACTCTGCTACAACTAAATTAAAGTTACATGAAATTACTGCAAGAAAATGTAGCCCTTGGGAATTGCTGTCAAGCCTCGTGAAGTCTCAACCTAGTAGATTTTCCATTTGAACTCACTCTTTCTGTGTTGTATAACACTATTTTGTCTTCACAATCAGTTATGTAATTAATAAAACATTTAGAGCTTAATTTAATTATATATAAACATAGCTCATTTCCTGCAGGGTTATTAGAAATACTTTAAATTAAAAATATAAATATGAGAACCCCAAAGAAAAATAGTAGCTTCAAATAATAGGCCCAAATTAGTAAATTAATTTTATTGCCTAATACTCTATATTCCATTAGTAGTTTACTTAATTTCACTTTTTAAAAAGTCCTCTGAGAAATGGATAGAAATTATGTAATGATAATATTGAAACTCAGTTGTGCTCCCTTTAAATTTTCTTTAATAGTTCTATTTATCAGTAGTATATATTTAACCAAATACTTTATTTCATGTACTACTCCATCCTTCCCCATCACGTTATGATGACAAAGTCTTGGTTATATTCATTTATTGTATCCAGTCATTCTCCAACATGCTTATGCATCACTTCCTTTGAATAATTTTTATTGGATTATTATATTCAAGTTTTAATGGCAGATAGCTGTATCCTTCTAGATCTACCACGAAATAAATCCACTGAAGCAAAAATTGAAAGAAATTTACAAAAAAGACTGTTCAAGCTTTGACATTAAAATAGTAACTAGGGAAAAAATAGAATATAATGTTATGTAGATTGATCAGCATATCTTCCTAAGGTTAATTAGAAATATTAGGAAGGCAAGAAATCTGTAAGTAGCAAAAGGGACTTAGAGGGGAGCATGCAAACTATAGAATACAGTTAGCTTAAGTTTTAGAAAAAAACAAAGAGAGGCAGGAAGGAGAATATTAAACTGAAAAAAATATAGAGTGAATGAGTATAACTTTAGGCATGAGAGTTGTGTAACATAGTTTCAAAAATCAAGGCCAGTAACCAGTGTAAACATTGATAAGAATGAAGGTAGAACTGGGAATTTTCTTTTCTAAATGCAGAATATATGTTGTATAAAAGAAAAAGATTATTTAGTGGATATCTGCAAAACTAGTTACTAGGCCTAATTCCTACAAACCCATTTTATGACCATGGTACATAGCTTATCTGGGACTTACTATCCTTATCTTTGAAATAAGAAGATTAGTTTGCATGAATCTGAAGCTGTTTTGAGCACAGTTAATTCATCCTGTTATGAAGAAAAGTTTCAGAAAACCTAGTTTAGAAATGTGCTTCTTTTTCTTTTTCTTTATTTCATTCTCTCCTTCTTCCCTCTCTTCCTTTCTTCCTCCCCACTCCCTTCTTACCTCTCCACTTTGTTTTTCTACCTCAGCCCCTACTTCCTTCCCTTCTCTAGTTCTTCCATTCTTTCTTTCCTTCTCAATAGTTAAGTTTAATAATAGTGGTTGCTTTGTGGTAGATGTTTCAGTGGGAAAAAATTTTAAAGATTGCACAGTTCTTGTCAGAGGTCACAGGAATGGTTGAGTCTGGATGTGGAAGGGGCTTCAGAAGCCATGCTCTGTCTGTTTCTGGAAAACAACAGAACTTAGGAAACAAGCTAAGGATGCTTCTGCAGCTGATAGTGAGAGTTGCTATAACCAGATGCATTCACATAGGTGGAGAGCTGATGACTTATTTTGTAAGCCTTCCTATGTGAAAACCTTCAAATTGCTTAATTATGCTGATATAAGGAGATTATGAAGTGAAAATAAACAAAATTAATCCACATTCTTTGGGAGATAGCTGGGATAATTTTTAAAGATCTACACTCAAGCAAAATAAATTTATACAAGACAAAAAAGAAAAGTATCTGGCACAAGTTAGTTGTATCATGTGCAGCAGTAAGACTGCTGAATACAAAAAATAGCAACCTAAGTTCATAGAGCAAGATAGACAGCAAGGGGAAAAATTATACCACTCAAAATGGAATAAAACAAATGGTACCCCCTGGGATAGAAAGGCAGACACTTAAAGGCATTCATATATGCGTTAATTGTATTATTCTCTGTGGCAGTGCAAAGCCATGAAAAGAGAGAAAGACTTTTAATCACTCTGTGCTCCAGAATGGGGCTATGCCATGTGTATTCACATCTGCCCTAAATTACAGTGAAATACACAGTGCAAGTAACTATGACATACAAGAGGACTGGAACGCTATCTTGCATTACATGTCATCAATTTTGAGTCAAGTTAGGATGATCTATATCCTTAGAGAGAAAAAGGTACACTAGGAAATAACTTTTTGAAGCACTGGAAGAGGGGCGAGAAATTATTTCTTCTAATAGTTTTCTTTCCATTTCTTAAAAAGAAAAAGTTGGATGTGGGGATGATTGCAGAGGAGAGAAGGAATGTAGGGAGAGAGTTAAATTGTCAATTAAAATCAAGACGCCTAGTAAACTTTGAATTTCAGACAAATATTTTTTAGTACAAATATGTTCCAAATGTTGCATAGGCTATGTGTATACTAAATAGCATATATATATATATGTGTGTGTGTGTTGTGTTTGTGCCTATATTTTAAAATTAAAGTTTTTAAAAAGAATATTAATTGTTTAATATTCAAGTTTAGCTGGGCTCCTGAAATTCTCCCCCACTAAATTAAGCAATGCTAGGAGAGAGGCAGAGACTCCATCTGCTAAGCACATGAGTATTCTGATTTTCTTTTTGATTGTGTAACAGAATCGAACAAGCATTTACATACACCTAGTAACTCAGTGAGAAAATATAATAAATACTACTACAAAAGTATTGAAAAAAATTTGTGCTTTCCAGATACTCACTATATGCGTAGTTCTAGACTGAGTCTAGTTCTATACCTGAGTCTTTCAGCTGGGATAATTACTTCAATTCTTAGCTTCAGTTTGGACATGGTAATCTGCTTCTTTTTATGTATTGATGTGGTTGGATAGAATAGTGATCCAAACTAGGTAAATATCTAGAAATGGCAAAGAGGGCATATCCAACAGCTGATGAACTGCTAATTCTGTGAAGATAATAACAACAAAAGATTCACAGAAAAACAAACTGATCTCTACACATCTTCCCACAAAGTATTTTGAGTTTCCTCAGCTGTCTGGTATGAATATGTTTTTGTAAATACCATGAAAGAAGTGCATTAAAAATCTTAATTTAAAAAAATTGCTGAAAATCAATGTGAATTATAATGGCTGATTGCTATGATTTTTAAATATTTTGAGACTATCTTTATAAAATGCTTTATACTTGGCAAAAATTCACTTAATTAAAGTCTGAAATTGAATGTGAACTCCAAATGTATGTTTATTTTTGTTCGTTCTTTATAGAAATAGAATTGCAGTTTTGTGAATAATTTTTCATTTGTAGTTTGCAAGACATATCAAGAAATCTGAAGGCCAGAAAATTCCTAAAGTGGAGTTGCAAATATCAATTTATGGAGTAAAAATTCTAGAACCCAAAACAAAGGTAAGGCTTATTTTTTAATGTTAGAGGTAATCTTTAATTAATTGCAACTATATTCTTACTTTAACAAATATTTAATAATTTTTGCCACCCTGAACTGTTTAGTTCTGAGCTAATGGCAGTTCGAAACTCTAGGATTTTTAGAAGTGAAAACAACTTTTGGAATTGCGTTATAAGTGATCTTTTCTTCAGCTTGTTTGGGATATAATATTAATAACTTATGTTAAGCGTATTCAGCAGTGTTTGGACTTGTATTTAGGAATTTTTTTTCATGAAATGTGAAAGAGATGCATACAGTGTGGTTCACTGAGTATGAAAGAAGATAAAAGCTGTGTGTTGCTTATTAAAATATTCTGCATTGACTTTTATTTCCTGTAGATGTAATCAGTGTGTATTAGTTTTCTAGGAAAGCCATAGCAAAACACCACAACTGGGTGACTTAAACAACAGAAAATATTTTCTCACAGTTGTGGAGGCTGGAGTTCCAAGATCAAGATGCCAGCAGAGTTGATTTCCTCTGTAGCCATTCTCCTTGGCTTGCAGAGGGCTGCCCTGTTGCTGCCTCTTCACATGGTCATCCACCTGTGCACACACTTGTCTGGTGTCTCTTCTTATAAGGACACTCATCAAATTGGATTAGGAACCATACTCATGGCCTCATTTTAACTTAATTACCTTTTTAAAGGCCTTATCTCCTGTTCAAAGAAAAACTAGACAAATTAAATTTAGCAGAGTTTATTTGAACAGATAATGATTCATGAAGCAGGCAGCACTTGAAACCAGAAGATGTTCAGAAAGCTTTGCCCAGCAGCGTGAACATGGAGATTTTTATAGGCTGAACACAGAATCAAAGTGACAACTCACCTGATTGTCTACAGCAAGGCATCTACTTTATATGGACATGTTGTGATGAGCTGGCTGCCTGTAACTGGCTGAAACTTAGCTGTGTGTTCTACTTCCAAATTAGTGTTCAGTTTATTTACGTACTAGTTAGGTTGCAGTTTGTTGTCTAGGAACTCAAAAAACAGAGACAACCCCAGATGAATGGCCTCATGCTTATTTAATTTAGCACTCTAACTACAGTCTCATTCTGAGGTGCTGGGGATTGGAGCTTCAACATGTGAATTCTGGGGAACACAATTCAGCCCATAACACACTGTAAACTTAAGTTTCTTGTATTTAAGGGCCTCTGACCCTTCAAAGCAAATTAAATATTTTAAAATATAATCTGTTCTGGATTCGAATTCATTAACAGGTACTAGTGTTGGACTAAAGTGTTTCCTTCCAGAATTCTTACGTTGATGCCCTAACCCCTAATATGGCTATATTTGAAGATAAGGCCTTCAAAGAGGTAACTCAGGTTAAATGAGACTTTAAGGGTGGGGCCCTCATCCAACATGTCTAGTATCCTTACAAAAAGAGGAAGAGACCCCAGACCCCAGGGATATGTATACTCGGAGTAAGGCCCACGTGAAGGCACAGAGTGAAGGCAGCAATCTTCAAGCCAAAGAGAGAGGCCCCAGAGAAACCAAACCTACCGACACCTAGATCTTGGACTTGTGACCTGCAGAACTAGGAAAAAATAAATTCCTGTTGGATAAGACACCCAGTCAGTGGTATTTTGTTATGGCAGGCTTAGTAAACAAATACAGCACTTTATTCACAATGCCTCAGAGTTATCATTTAGTAATTTTCATAAGACTATGTTAGTCAATTTGGAAAAATTAATATTTAACTCCAATTATTTTATAAATACATATTGTTAAAGCATTCTTCTAACACTGTAAGATACATATTGACAAATTAATTCAATATAAAAGCCAAAAGAGGAACTTCTGGCCTGTTAACAGATTATAAAAATGTTTCCCACAGGTCTGCAACTTTTCTCTAGTCCAGCAAGTATCTTTGATACCTTCATCTATGTAAATTCCAGTTCCCAGCAACAACTGGATATTTAAAGTGTGGCCTGTGGACCGCCAGCAATCACATCTATTGGGTGCTTGTTAGAAATGTTGAATCTCAGGCTCTGCTACAGACCTACAGAATCTGTATTTGCAGTTAAAGAAGAAACATAGTAATTCATATGCACATTAAAGTTGGAGGGGATCTGCTGTTGTGCATAGTTTAGTGGCTAAATGCAGTAGGCCTCATTTTCAAATTGTAGCTTATGGAATATCTACAAAAAAATTACCTGAGGCATTTCCAAATGTAATTTCTAAGGCTCCAAATTTGCCTCCAGAATCAGAACCTCTGACTGTGGAAATCTGTAGTAAAGCTCAATGGCATACCTTCAACTTTCCGTATTAAAGAACAATGGCATTCTGTCAAACTTCCCAAGACATGAATTCAAGTCCTCTCACAATTATCTGGTCTAATCTTCTCTATTATTCACCCTCAATATTCAATTACAAACAAAGATGTGAAGATTTACTTTAGTTATGGGGATCCTAAAATAACTACTGGTAAGGTGGCTGAAATAAAAAAAGTGAAATGGTGAAAAGATAGTAGAAGGTTGATTCAAGCATTTGGGATATCTGTAGTTTGCTGGGAAACAAGGCAATTGAAAGCAAGGTATGAGTGAGATCAATTCATTAGGCAATTAGCAGTTACATAAAGAACAATAGACCAAGGAAGCAATAAGTTACAAAAGGATGATTCAATCAAAAGTGTAACAATGAAGTGTCGTCTTACATGTCATGAAAAAGAAAATCCTATTCCTACATCTTCTTTTCACAATTAAAAGGATATATAGTGGCAAATGTCCAGTCAGAATAGGGTATTTGTAGGCCATGCTTATGTTGAAAGATTTTTTCTAAATCATATGAATTAGATAGCTGTTTCAGAGTGTGTGTATATGTTTGTGTGTGTATGTGTAATTAATATTATTTTCAATTTCTTATCTGAAGGTTTGGGGCTTGTCACAGCACACATTGAAATATATAAAGCTGATAATATACATTATGTATCGTTTTCGTATGTTCCTGTTATTTTGTATTTCAATCTACCTATGGTGCATTCTAAACTCTAATAATTTCACCAGATTCATATACCATAATTTACCAAATTATTCTTCTATTATTGAACATATGGCATGTTTCAAATTTTTTGTTAGTTGATAATCACGTTTAAATATTTATAAAATACAAACACGATTAAATGCAGTTATGTAGAGAAAACTTTTTTTGAGTTTTAGAATTCACAGGTTAATAATGGCATGTCCTTAGAAATGCATAAAATGCTAATTGCTTAAAGCACTACAAGATGGTTACCACTAACTACCACTACAAGGTGGCGACCACTAACTACCACTACAAGATGGCTACCACTTATGTTTATAGGGTGTGTGTGTGTGTAAAGAGAGACAAAATTGGATCAGGTAATGCAAATGCAAATGTAATGCAAATGTGACACAATGTTACCAGTTGGCTAGGTGAAGAGTATATGGGTATGTATTGCAACTTTTTCTATTATTTCCTGCATGATTTCATCTGACCTTTTAAATGAGACTATTTCTTCCAATGAAAGATATGTGAACTGTTTGGGTGCGGTGGCTTATGCCTATAATCCCAGCACTTTGGGAGGCTGAGACAGGGGAATCATAAGGTCAGGAGTTCGAGACCAGCCTGGTCAACACAGCGAAACCCCGTCTCTACTGAAAGTTAAAAAAAAAAAAAAATACATGGGTGTGGTGGCAGGTGCCTGTAATCCCAGCTACTCAGGGGGCTGAGGCAGGAGAATCGCTTGAACCCAGGAGGTGGAGGTTGCAGTGAGCTGAGATAGCACCACTGCACTCCAGCACAGGCGACAGTGTGAGACTCCATCTCAAATAAAAAAAGAAAGAAAGAAAGAAAGAAAGGTATGTGAAAAGCTCTGTTAAAAACTTAATCAACAAGTTAGGCTATCATATCTGTTTGGATTTTCTTCCTTGGCTTCCTGACCACTTGAAGAAACCTACCTTTATGAAACCCAATTGACCAATAACTTACGATTTATTAGGTTATTCCTTATACCTGATCTCCTGATCATTGATTATTTACCTGGAATAAGGATAATTTTTTTCATTAACTTTAAATATTTGTAAATATAAAGACAGAAATACCAAACTTTAAAAAAAATAGCATATGATACTGTAGAGTGAGGAAAAAACTAAAGTGAATAGGGTCCAAAATTAAGCTGGGCTTAGAAAAAGTCTGTCGTACAGCAATAGTACAGAATAGAGAACCCAAAATTAAAGCTGCACACCTATAGCCATCTGATTTTCGACAAAGTCAACAAAAATAACAAATGGGGAGATGATTATTCAATAATTGGTGCTGGGATAGCTGGCTAGCCATATGGAGGAGATTGAAACTGGACCCTTATCTTTCACTATATACAAGAATTAACTCAAGATGGATCAAATATTTAAATATAAGACCTTAAAGTATGAGAATCCTGGAAGAAAACCTAGGAAACTCCATTCCGGTCATTGCCCTTTGGAAAGAATTGATGACTCAAAAGCAATTGCAACAAAAACAAAAGTTGACAAATGGGACCTAATTAAATTAAAGAGCCTCTGCACAGCAAAAGAAACTATCAACAGAGTAAACAGACACCTACAGAATGGGATAAAGTATTGCAAACTATGCATTTAACAAACATCTAATATCCAGAATCTATAAGGAACTTAAACAACTGAACAAGCAAAAAATAATAACCCTATTAAAAAGTGGGAAAAAGAAACAGGAACAGACACTTCTCAAAACAAGACAAACAGGTGGCCATCAAACATGAAAAAAATGTTCCACATCACTAATGAAAGAAATTAAATTCAAAACCGCAATGAGATACAATCACCACCATGCAGAATAACTGTCATTAAAAAGTTAAAAAATAACAGATGCTGGTGCGGTTGTGAAGAAAAGGGAATGCTTATACACTGTTGGTGGAAATGTAAATTAGTTCAGCTGCTGTGGAGAGCAGTTGGAGATTTCTCAAATAACTTAAAATAGTTAACCATTTTC